ATATTTTTATTTTATTCTGTTGTGTTCCTAGCTATTATCATAGGACCAGGCACATTACAGATGCAATAAACTTCCTCAAAGCAGTGAGGAAACTGAGGCTCAGGAGGTTAAGTGACATCCTGGGTCACGCAGCTAGTATGAGGGGACTTGGATTTGGAAGTGTCTGTGTCTGATTTCTAACATGAAGATATGTTGCTTTTGGAGTAAACTGTTAATTCAGACTCATGTTTTTGTTTTCTTGCAGATATGTGACTATATTTTCCCAAGAAAAGCTGCAGCTTGGCATATATCATTGCATGGCGAACCCCAACTTCAGAAATATTGTGAGGAATAGAGAATTCAAGCATTTAAGAACCGGGTGTCACATGGTAAAGTGCGTCTGAATGCTGCAGAATCATCCAGGAGCAGGTGTCATGTGTTTGCCCTGGGGAGGGGTTCAGTCTTGCACACTCTGGTGTGAGTGTGTCAGGCTGGCCTGGCCCCCACTCACCGTCAAGCTGGGGACAGGTGCTTGCCAGCGATTCCTGTGAACAATGACGGAACACTGATCATACCCTTACAGTTACCACCGTCTGTGATGCTGGATCCTCAAACACCTTTGCAAAGTTGCTGCTACTGCTGTCACCCCAATCTATATTTAGATGAGAGACTGAGGCCCAGAGAGATGAACTTGTACAAGGTCTAATACTAGATCAAGATATGCACCTGGGAATGAAGTGGCTGTAATTCAGTGTGGAGGGTTCTGGAGTCCAGAGAGGAGCCCCATCTCACAGTCAGGGACTTAGGGGAGGAGAGGGCTGCCCTGAAGGTACAGTTTGAGCCAGGCCTGAAAGGACACGTCAGAGGACTCAGGAGAGAGTGTGTCCTACTGTCTGGGCCACATGCAGGGAATGGCTCAGCATCAGGACAGGACAAAGGTGACAACACTATGCACCAAACCATCTGGAGAACTGAGGGACAGAGTGGCTTCCAGGACACAGCTTTTGTTGGAGGGATAGGGATATCTGTCCATTCATCCCCTGGGGCACACTCGGGATACCTCCACCTTTGACTCCCGTGAATAATGCTGCTATGAGCGTGGGTTACAAACCTGGTCAGTCCCTGATTTCGGGTCTTTTGAGTGTATTCTTTTGAGGGGCATGACTGCTGGATGGTGTGAATTCTGTGTTTAATTCTTTGAGACACTGTCATACTATTTTCTACAGCAGCTGCACCAGTTGCAGTCCCAACCAACAGTGCACATAGGTCTCAATCTCTTCACACCGGTGCCCACATTTTTTTCTGCTGCTTTTTAATGTAGCCTGCCTGACGCAGTGAAGCGGCATCCCACTGTGCTTTTGATTTGCATTTCCCTAATGACTAATGATGTTCAGTATCTTCTCATGTGCTTACTGACCACTTGCATATCTTCTTTGGAGAAATGTCTATTCATGCCCTTTGCCCATTTTACATTGTTTTTTGAGGCCAGGCGTGGTGACACTTGCTTGTAATCCTAGCACCCCAGGAGGCTGAGGCAGGTGGATTGTTTGAGCTCAGGAGTTTGAGAACAGCCTGAGCAAAACCTCCTCTCTACTAAAAATAGAAAAACTAGCTGGGCGTTCTGGTGGGTGCCTGTAGTCCCAGCTGCTTGGGAGGCTGAGGCAAGTGGATTAAGAGTTTGAGGTTACTGTGAGCTGCGATGATGCCACAGCACTCTACCAGGGCAACAGAGCAAGACTCTGTCTCCAAAAACAAAAGTAATTTTTTTCTTGAGTTATAGGAGTTCTTTATATATTCTGAATACTAATCTCATGTCAGACTGACAATTTGCAAATATTTTCTCTTATTCTGTGAGCAGCCTTTTTACTCTTTAGATAGTATTCTTTGATGCACAAAATTTTTTAGCTTCAAAGTTAATTATCTTTTTTTTTCTTTTATTGCCTATGCTTCCTTACCTAATTCAATGTCCTGAAGCTTTTCCTCTCACTCCCTATTTTTAACATTTTTTTTTGAGACAGAGTCCCACCATGTCACCCTGGAGTGATGTGGCATCATAGCTCATAGCAACTTTAAACTCTTGGGCTCAAGTGATCCTCTTTTCTCAGTCTGTTGAGTAGCTGGTGCCTGCCACAATGCCAGCAACTTTTTCTACTTTTAGTAGAGACAGGATCTGCTCTTGCTCAGGCTGGTCTTCAACTCCTGAGCTCAAGCAATCCACCTGCCTTAGCCTCCCAGAATGTTAGGAATAAAGGTGTGAGCCACCAGGCCTAGCCTCCCTATTTTTAAAATAAGAATTTTAGGCCCAGTGAGGTGGCTCATGCCTGTAATCCTAGTACTCTGGGAAGCTGAGGTGGGTGGATTGCTTGAGCTCACAAGTTCAAGACCAGCTTGAGCAAGAGCAAGACCCCATCTCTAAAAATAGGCAGGCATTGTGGCAGCTGTAGTTTCAGTTACTTGGGAGACTGAGGCAAGAGAATCACTTGAGCCTAAGAGTTTGAGGTTGCTGTGAACTGTGATGCCACGGCACTCTACCCAGGGTGACATAGTGAGACTCTCTGTCTCAAAAAAAAAAAAAAAAAAAAGAAATTATTTAACACCTAAGGCCCTGCTAAAGTCCAAAGGCATATTGATACACTACAGAGTCCTCATAAATTCCATTTAAAAATAACTCATTCAGATGAAATTCATATGCCATACAGTTTACTATCTTAAAGTGGCATGTCGTTCATTCAGGATGTTGTGCTCATCCTCTATTTTTGTGTCAGAGCTTTACAGTCTACAAACTCCATTTATATCACTTTCTCATTAGAGCTCTACAGATCCTGAGAGCTAGAGGGAGTAGCGAACCCATGTCACAGGCATGGGAGGGAGGGTCACACACATTTAGCACATTGTGCAGTGGACACTGTGTTCCTGGGTTTTTAGCCAGTCAGGCCTTTGCTTTCCTTGGCTCTAATGTGGGGTGATGCCATCGACCTGGCAGGCGTTCCTATGAGCTAGGCTCACAATGCCCCTCCTCTTCTTTTCTGGACCTCCTTATCTGCCTTACCTGCCGCTATGTGACTTTTCCACCTGTGATTTCTATTGCTTGTTATCTCCAGCTGCTGACACCAGGCCCTTTAGCAATTTCTCCAGGATGGAGCAAAGCTTGCTGTAGGCACTCTGGAAGTACCTGCAGCACCAGCCCTGGGGATTTATTAAAAAGCACAGAACTAGGAGTTCATTGGAGGTCACTGGGCTTGATTCTCTGGTTCGATGGCTGAGGAGGCTGGGCACGGTAGTTCATGCCTGTAATCCTAGCACTCTAGGAGGCCAAGACAGGTGGATTGCCTGAGCTCACAAGTTCAAGACCAGCCTGAGCCAGAGCGAGGCCTCATCTCTAAAAATAGCTGGGCGATGTGGCAGGTGCCAGTAGTCCCAGCTACTTGGGAGGCTGAGGCAAGAAAATCACTTGAGCCCAAGAGTTTGAGGTTGCTGTGAGCTATGAGGCCATGGCATGGCACCCTACCAAGGGTGACAAAGTGAGACTCTATCTCAAAAAAGAAAAAAAAGGCTGAGGAAAGGGGAGTCTAAAGAGGTGGAACCCCAAGCCCTGCATGCCGCTGGAGCTGACTTTCTACACCAACCCCGAGACCCCTTCTTTAAGCCCTTCCACGCTTGGAGGAAAGGGGACAGCGCAGACTTGCTCTTGCTTGAGGCTTCCTGGGTCCCTATTGCAAATAGTGCCAACTGTTTACCTCCTTTGAATTTTGACCACCGCTAGGTGGGGGTTGAACGAACAGGAAGCCACAGCTTAGAGCTCTTGGAGCTTGCCTGCTATAGCCAGCACAGGGGAGCCAGACTCAGGTCCCCACAATTACTTCCCATAGCTCACCAATGAGAGCCACTGAGGCCAGGCAGCCTCCAGGCCTGAGTGAGAACCAGCAGAGACATAAGAGCCTGGCTGCGGTCAGGGCCTTGCCAGGCTCGAGGGAGGGGTAAAGGAATTCCTCAGGGCTCCAGGCCCAGCCCAGCCTTTCCACTTTTGATTTTGACTTGCTTTTTTTGGTTATTGTTCTTTTTCTTCTTACGCTGACAGACGTTTGACATTATTCAGCATTTCAGTCTTTTTTTTTTTAATGGAGTCTTAGATTATTAGGGCTGGAAAAATTCCTTTGGAGTCATTTCCTCTGGGTTTTATAGATGTCTATGGCAAGATCCAGAGAGGGTTTGGTCAGCTGGGAGGCAGATCTGGCCTGCTTCAGGTTCTGTGGCCAATGACCAGGCACCTGGCCAGCCTTCCCCTGGGCCCAGCCAGGGGCTGGAGGAGGCCCATGGTCCGTTGGGGATCCGGCCAGGCCTAGAGCTGACCAGGGAAGGGCCCTCCAGGACTCGGGCCTCTGACCATCTTCAGTCCTGAAGTTCTGTAATTACAGCATCCACTCTGCCCTGTTCCTGCTAGACTTGACTCAACCACTACTGGGCATGGCCAGCCTTAGGTTCACCTGGCAATTATTAACCTGGAATGGATCTTTCCACCCTCCTCCCCAGCAGCCCTTCCAGCGTCCACACCCGGCCAACTCGGTTTCCTGGCACAGGAGGGCTTCCGGGAGTCGGAGGCCGGAGGTGTGTCTGGCTTTTGTCCCTCCACACTGTCTCCAAAGTGGCCCCTGGGACTGACTGATCAGGGCACCCTTTGAGCCCAGGAGCCCTGGGAGGTGTATGACGTAGCCGGTACCTGAGGACCTGCCCATGCCTTCCTCTGTTCCCCAGGGAGAAGGCGACAGGTGATACCAGGCAGGTGGGGGCTGCGAGCGCCAACACCGCGCACGCGCCGGGACCTGCAAGCCGGTTCGGAAATGACGACCGCTCTAGAGCCCATTAGAGGGCCCGCCCCCGTTGCGGTCCCGCCCCGCCTCGAGCCCCCGCCCCCAGGCGGTCCCGCCACTCTCAGGCCCCGCCCCACCAGGCCCCTCCCGGCGGACCGCGCTCTCCGCTCACCCGGTCGCAAGGCTGCGCGGCTGGTCCGGCGGGCGCGGGCCCGGAGGGCGGCGGCGGAGTCTGGGCCGGGCTGCTGAGGCGCCCGAGGACCGTGCGCCCGGGGCAGTCATGGCAGAGGCTGCGCTGCAGCAGCTGTCGCTGCCCTCGGGGCTGCTGGAACTGTGCGCGCTGCTGGGAGCCTCCCGGGACAGCCTCCGAGGCCTGGAGCAGGTAGGGGCCGGCGGGGAAACTGAGGCTGGCGGCAGTTGGCGGGACAGCAGTCAGAGCGCGCGGTCAGACCCCGGCGCATCCCAAGCGGGCGCCTAGTGCCAGGAGGAGCTGCCGGTGGCTTCCTGACGTTTGTGCCTGGCCGGCCCCTGCGGGACCCTGCGCGCTGCGGGCTGGCAGGTGCTGTGGGTCTGCCGGTGGTGCCCAGAACCGCCGCCCTCACCCCACAGATGCCGACAGGGGTTGGTTCCTTCCTGCCCTCTCTAGAGCCCTCTCTCAGGCCGCCTGGTTCGTCCGCAGAGATGACTCTGAGGCAGACGCGCGCTCCGGTCCGCTGGGGCGTTGCTCGGAGCCCTCGGCCCACTGACTCTTCTTCCTGCAGGAGGCCCCACCTCTGGCAGGTGCTGAGATAGGGGGAACCAGACAGGGACGACGGAACCTCCGTCATTTCACGGTCTAGTGGGCCAAATCTTTGCCTATTGGCCATCGAATGATTTCATTCATCACACAAGAGATTATTGTCTCCTGAGTAGTCAGTTCTGTATTAGGCACAGAATAATGAGATTTAAAAATTTGAATTTAACTGCCGGCTTCAAATATTCTGTATCTAATCGTCCTTTGAAGAAGTCTAGATGTTTCTCTCACTTGTAGTAAATCTCCCCTCTCTTAGGGCCAACTCCTCTGCCTTTCTTTGGGACAGCGGCAGTTTGGGGACTTCTCGTTTCTTTTCCGTGCACGCTCTATTTCTCAGTCCTGGAATGCTGGCTTGGTCTTGCTTCTTCTGCCTGTGGCCTTCTGTCCTCCTGGCCCAGCCAGTCTGGGGCACCGTGACTGTGTCATTCTGCCCAGGGATTTCCCTACTTCACGGCCTAGTCCTCTGGGCAATTCCTTTCATTTCTTTCCAGATGACAACATTTTGAGGCAGAGGCGTTTGAATGTTTAAATGATGCTTGGCTATCCAGGGAAAATGAAGAATGTAGGGCCAAAGGGATGTCACCAAGGAAAGTTCCATGTTACTGAAGTTAACCACACGAATGTGGGTTAGTGACCCCCGAGTATCTGCCACCAGGCTTCTGTACCAAGGCAGTCCGGCTTCGCTGAAGAACCATTGCTCACATAGAAATGATTTCCCCCCCATCTTTCTTTGGGACCCCCCATAATGTCAGTGTACCCCTTTTGACTTTGGTCTCCTCCCATCCTCATCTACTCATTTGTCTCAGAGCCTCCTTTTTCTCTGAATGGGAAATGGCCCATTTGGGTAGTTGGGTGTCTTTGCTGCTGGGCTGTTACAACACCGGTTGCTCAGTATGAGACACGACTTTTGAGAGCAGGATGAATCAGCCGTGTGTTTACAGTGACCCTGTTCCTGAACTAAACAGTTGCAACATTTTCCCAGATCAAGTGAGAATATGGGTGGCTTGCTGCTGTGCATTCAAACTTTTGTCCTTTTTTTTTTTTTTTTTTTCTGAGACAGAGTTTCACTATGTCGCCCTGGGTAGAGTGCCATGGTGCCACAGCTCACAGCAACTTCAGACTCTTGGGCTTAAGCGATACTCTTGCCTCAGCCTCCCAAGTAGCTGGGACTACAGGCGCCTGCCAGAATGTTATTTTTGTTGTTGTTGTTGTTATTGTTTTTTGGCAGGCCCGGGCTGGGTTTGAACCCACCAGCCCTGGTATATGTGGCTGGTGCCCTAGCCACTGAGCTATAGGTGCCAAGCCTGAACTTTTGTCCTTTTTGTTCTATATTCTTATCCTGTTAAGGGGTTTCACAAAGGGTAGAGAGAAAAATAGTAAGGATTTGGAAAAAAGAAGTGTTAAGTGAAGGATTAAACTTCTGGAGTGATCTTACTTTTAAAGTCAACATCAATGCTAGACTTTATCAAACATACAATTTTATTTAATTAGTGTTTTTTTTTTTAGCAATTCTATTTTGACTGTTCAAAGTAAGGATTTAAACTAATTTTTAATTTTATTTATTTTAGAGGAAGAGTCTTGTTCTTTTGCCCAGGCTGGGGTGGGCAGTGGAGTGATCATAGCTCACTGCAACTTCAAACTCCTGGGTTCCAGTGAGCCTCCTTTCTCAGCCTCCTGCATAGCTGGGCTGTAGGCATGCACCACCACACCCAGCCAATTGTTGTATTTTTTTGTAGAGATGGGATCTCGCTTGTTGCCTAGGCTGGTCTTGAACTCCTGGCCTCAAGCAATCCTCCCGCCTTGACCTACCAAAGTGCTGGGATTATAGCGTGTGCCACTGTGCCTGGCCTTACTTTTTAATTTTACTTCTTAAGTTGTTTCTCTGTGGCTCAGGCATTCTTATTTGGTGACACAGGAAGAAAGAAGCCCAGAGGTATGAGAAATATCCAACATTAAGTGTGGTCCCCTCTTTGTTTTACTTCTTAGACAGGGACAGTAGTGTTTGTTTTGTTGGGATGGTGACAAAGAATTCAAGAGCAAGGGCCAGTCCTCATGTGAGGTGCATTTCCCTCCACCTCTCTACTGTAGAGGGACCCCCTGTTACTGGTTGCTGTGGAGACCAGACAGCAAGCCAGTGTGAGGGGATCCATCGGAGTGGTGGAAAGTGCTCAGGGACTGTGCACAGCACCCTTCCACAGTGACCAGCAGAGTTCTCTGTGTGAAGGTGTGTACGTAGGCTTTAGTGGGAAGCGTCCTGGCTCAGCTCTGGCCCCCAGCCCTCCCTGGACCGGGGCAGTCAGCACTCTTTGTCTGTGCAGCCCAATCCAGGGGCTGCTGGCCGTGTGTGGATGCTGAGTGCCTCGCATGTAGCTAGTGAGGGTGAGGAACTGGACTGTAAATTTTGTTTAATTTTAATTAATTTAAATTTCAATAGCCACAAGTGGTTTCTGGCACTGTGTTGGACAACATAGTTCTAAAGCATTATGACATAGATTAATTTCTGTTTTATCTCATTAATAATGGCCAATCCTATAGCAAAGGTTAACACCCTTATATGATCTGACTTTGAAATAAATCTGTGACTCAAAGGGTGTATGGTTCTTACTTTTTAATTGGCGCTTTTTTTTTTCAAGCATGAAATAAAGTTTATTGAGGAAGAGAAAGATAGATTTATAGAGCAAGAGTAAGATAGAAGTACACAGAGCAAGATGCATTCACTATGGATGACAGGCCCCTGGTCTTAAAAAAAGGCCTCAGTAGCTTGATTTTGAAAACTAAACAAATAGCTTTGGGTAAGGGTTTAGTAAGTCAACATGTGGGATGGGAGGGCAGGAAATGGCTGTCAGCTCCAGCTTGGACTGGCAGAGGGGATGTGTGTCATGCCAGGGGAGCCCCACAAGCTGCATTGGTCCACCCTGAAGAAGTCTCACGTCGCCCTGGCAGCAGTATCTGTGTAGTCCCGACAGTGACAAGAGCTGCACTGAGCACTGTAGTGAGATGGAAGACAGAGAGAAAGTGCCACCCGTGTTCTCTGTATTATTTGAGGGAGGAATGGAAAGATAAAAAGTTAAAAAAAAAAATCTTGTATCCAGTTAAAGTTTGGAGGAGTTCAGGGTAAATGCCCATTTCACTAACTCAGGAACCATTTGGTCGGTTGAGGAAGGGTGTGTCTCTTCAGCGTATGTGCCCCGCCCCCCCCTCCCCCGGCTGGTGTGGACAGTGTAGAGTTGTTGTGTCAGAGTTTGATGGTGTGCAGGGCCCCTCGCTGTGTCTGCCTGCTGACCACCCTGGAGGGGGCTCAGTGATGGTCTAGGGCTTCCTGGCAGCCGTCCTGGGCTGACCATTGAACCTAGTTGTCTCGATTATTCCCCACACTTAGCCTTGAAAAGGAAACTTGGAGGGATAGAGAAGCTCATTGCTGTGGCTGGGACGGAGCCAGCACTTGCACTCAGGTCTGCTGGGCCTCACATGAGGGAGGTGAGGGGCAGCGCTCCAAGGTTTAGCTGAGGAGCTGCCCAAGGAGTCACTGTCTCGCCTGAGCGCAGGGCCTGGGAGGTTTCTAGATCTTCCTGTCCTTCCCCCAGGTCATGAGCCTTGGGTGGGAAAAGCTGCTCCCACCAACACCTGTAGGTGACAGTTCTGTCCCACTGGTTTTGTGGGTGAGGAGGGGAAACAGCGAACAGTGGGGCTGAGGTGGGAAGGACACCACAGAACAGGAGCTGACACTATTGGAGTAACTCTTATTTTTGTCTTTTTTAGGTTGCCCAGAAAAAAGGACTCAAAAATCTTTCTTCTCTTGATCCAGAGGTTCTGTCTGTTTTTGTGCCTCCTTTTGTCAGTAAAGAGGACAGTCAAGTGGCCGGCGCTAACTGTGCCACTCTGGGTAAAGGCCGGCGGCGCTCCTTCAGGAAGAAGAGGGACAGGCCCAAGCCGGAGCACTGGAGGGGGCTCCCGGAGGACCCCAAAGTGCTGGACTCCGAGGAGGTCAGCGTCCCGGGCGGTGTGGACCTCCTCGCCCTGCCCCAACTGTGCTTCCCAGGTGTGTTCACACAGGGGCACAGATCAGGTGGCCTGGTGCTGTGGGCTACCCAGGGTGGCCTCCTCCCGGAAACCCACACTTGGAGTGGAGCAGAGCCGAAGGGCAGCAAGCTGGGGACCCCTTCTGCCTCTGGTGTTTGATTGGGGGATTTAGTTTTCTTAATCCTGGGAATTTTAAAGCTTAAAAGGAAACTTAAATCATTTAATGCAATTCTTATGTTTTGGAAAACTGAGTCCTGGAAGAGCAGCTGTGTGGCCTGGCAGGTGGGTGTGGCCTGACAGGGAGCCCTATTTGTTTATGGAACCTTCAAAGGCTCCTCCACTGTGAGTTAAAGTGATGTCTTAAATTGGTTGGGTTAAAAGTACGGTCCAGCGAGTCTGCAGCGGATCTGCCCTGGCCTGAGCCTGAGCCTCTGGCTCCCACCTCTCTGTTTTCTGTTTCATTGGCTGGGAAGCACAGACTTTGCTGAGTCCCCAGGCTTGGCCATTCCCAGCTAACAGGTGAGCCTTCATGGCTGTTACCATTGGGAACATGAAGCCATTTCCTGGCCACAGGGATTATAATCCGGGGATGGTGGGGGAAGCACCTGTGCTCAGGGAGCATCATCGCTGGCCACCAGCCTCGCCCTAGAGGTTCATCCACCGCTGAGTGTCTGTGGTATTTTCACCACTCAGTTTTCAGCCTGCAGAGAGATGGTGGGGGAATTGCTGCCCTGGGGAGGGACTGAGGGAGGCAGAGTTTGCTGAAGTGCAATGAGGAGAATGAGCATATCTCGATGTCAAGGTTCTGCCAGTGATAATTGGAGATGGGCGTGAAATGATTTGTTTGTGGGTAGCCCAGGCCTTAAAATGAATGCTGCATGGCAGACAGAGATTCTCCTGTCTTTTTCTTCTGCTGCAGGGGGCATGTGCGTGGCCTCTGAGCCCAAGGAGGATCGGGTCCACTTCCTGGTGCTGACCGACATCTGTGGGAACAGAACCTATGGCGTGGTTGCCCAGTTCTACCGGCCCCTGCACGTAGGTGCTTCCTACTGCTTCCCATGTTGGGCTTAGACTTTTCCGTTATTGTGGTGAAATACGTGTTGTATATGACACAGCATTGGCCACTGCAGCCATTTTAAAGGGCACAATTCAGGCACATTAAGCACATTCTCAGTGTCACACAACCACCATGTGGTTGCCCAGAACATCTTCCTCATCCCCAGACCCCAGACCCATCGAGCCTTTACTGCCCACCTCCCTCTACCCCAGCCCCTGGCAGCCCTGAATCTGCCTCTGTCTCTGCAGCTGTGTCTGCTCTGAGTGTTTCCTGTGAGTGACGCCATGCACAGTGGGGTTATGCAGTGTGGGGGGCTGTGCAGGGAGAGTGTGGGGTCATGTAAAGTGGGGCTGTGCGTAATGGGGGGCAGTGCAGGGTGGGGCCTCTGCACCGGCTGCTCTCAGCTAGCAGGAGCCGCACTGCTGGTGTGTTGGCTCCTCATCCTTCTCATGATTGAGTGATGTTCCAGGTCTGGAGGGACCACATTTTATTTATTCACTGATGGACTTGTGGCTGTTTCACCTTCTGTCTCTTGTGCAAGGTCCTTGGGTTTAGGTTTTGTGAGTGTATTTTGGTCATCACATGTTTTGGGAGTGTTGGGCAGCCAAGGCCACCGAGTGAGTCAGCTGGCCTTGAAGGAGCTTGTAGGGGAAATGATGTTCCTGAAGAGGCATTGTGATTATCCGTATTCTTCAGTGGGCTCGTGGTCCACTCTGTGTCCAGGAGCAGAGGGGACCGTGAGCCCCATCCAGGGGCCCTGCTGCTTTGTCAGAGGAAGGCTGCCAGTTCCATTCAGTGGCGACAAGTGGCTGCCTAGATGCCCTCAGGACTGGGCGATTGTCCTTCTTTTTGGTAGAAGTATGTTCACGTGTTGCTTTCACTGAGTGTGGGAAGGCATAAGATGCTGTCAGACGGATTCTGTCCATGGGTGCTCGTGGGGTAGCACACGCAGGTGACCGTGTCCGTAATGAGTGAGGAAGAGTGAAACTCACTGCTCAGCGCTCTGAGTCACATCTCACGACCGTCTCCTGGGTGCTGAGACGGAAACTGGCTGGTCAGACCTCAAGTGCCCATGCAGAGTTTTGCCGTCTGCCTCTGCGACGTGCCGACCAGAGGCGCAGGCGAGCATGGTCCAGCCTTCTCTCCCTGCGTGTGTTATGTGTGAGAGGAATCCCACCTGTTCCTGCCTCCACCTCGGCAGTGTTGCAGAAATGTTGGATCATTCAGAAAAGTGCTTGGGAGTTGATGAAATAACCATAATAAGAAATGCACAAATTACTTTTATTATCATTGAATATATATATAAAAAAGTAACAACCCCACTGCTTTGCATTATATACAGTGACAGATGTCACTGTCCCACTACACCTGCCTGTCAGGGGGGTGTGGCCCGCTCTCCTTTCTGCTCAGTGGCTGTGTATTTTCAGGGTAGTCCCCACACTTCACCCTGCTCACTTCCCCTTCTTCACTGCTTATCCAGACGAGTGTGGACCTATGGCTCTAACATAGGCCCTCTTCCACACTCTACTCTTACCCCATGTGACCGGAGGGTAAACCTGTGCCTGCCTGGGGAGCTCAGTGCCCACAAAGTGCCCAGCAATAGCCCAGCCCCCTCTATTAGCAGCTCAGAACCAGGTGTGACCCCCAAGCACTTTGTGTGCAGTCATTTGTTTAATCCTCACCCCAGCGAATGAGGTTGGGAACTATTTTTTTTTTTCTTTTTTTGAGACGGAGCCTCAAGCCATCCCCCTGGGTAGAGTGCCATGGCATCACAGCTCACAGCAACCTCCAACTCCTGGGCTCAAGCGAGTCTCCTGCCTCAGCCTCCCAAGTAGCTGGGACTACAGGCACCCGCCACAATGCCTGGCCATTTTTTGGTTGCAGCCATCATTGTTGTTTGGCGGGCCGGGCTGGGGGTTCGAACCCGCCACCTTAGGTGTATGTGGCTGGCGCCTTAGCCGCTTGAGCCACAGGCGCCGAGCCCGAGGTTGGGAATTATTAACAGCATCCCCATTTTACAGATGAGGAAATAGTATCCCAGAGAAATTAAGTGACTTGCCCAAGGTCACACAGCAATTGGGATTTGAATTTGAACAGAATGACTCTAGAGCAATGACTTTTATTAAATGTTGCTGGGTGAGTGGGGGTGTGCAGTGGCTCATGCCTATAATCCCAGCCCTCTGGAAGGCCAAGGTAGTAGATTACTTGAGGTCAGGGGTTTGAGACCAGCCTAAGCAAGAGTGAGACCCCAGCTCCATAAAAAGTAGAAAACTTAGCCGGCATGGTGGTTATACACTAGTTCCAGCTCTTTGGAAGGCTGAGGCAAGAGGATCTGGAAGCCCAGAGTTTGAGGTTGCTGTAACCTATGATGACACTGCTATACTCCAGACAGGGCAATAGAGTGAGACTCTGTTTAAAAAAAAAAAAAGGCTGGCTCAGCGCTTGTAGTAAAGTAGTTGTGGCGCCAGCCACATACACCCAGGATGGTGGGTTTGAACCCGGCCCGGTCCAGCTAAATAACAATGATAACTGCAGCAAAAAATAGCTGGGCACCTGTAGACCCAGCTACTTGGGAGGCTGAGGCAAGAGAATTGTTTGAGGTTGCTGTGAGTTGTAATGCCACAGCATCCTACCAAGGGCAACATAGTGAGATTCTGTTTAAAAAAAAAAAAAAAGTCATTTGTAAGTTCTGCAGCAAGCTAGGCTGCCCAGGACCTTGCTGCTGTGCTGTTTCTCAGGCCTGTGGATCCCTGCCCCTCACAGGCTGAGACCCTCCTGCTTGGTCCTCTGGCTCCCAGGCACATGCACAGGCCACTTCCCCCGTGCGGCTGCATTTCCCTCCTTCCTCTGTCTTGAGTCCTTCTGTGCCCTCCTTGTGTGTCCCCTCCCATCCCAAGGCTGTGAGCCTCTCCAGGAGAGGGATGTCTTACCTTTTTGTAACCTCAGCTCCTTGCATGGTGCAGACACCCTCTAGGGGCCCCAGAGACATTAACTGCTGTCCTGGCCTTGATGGCAAGACCAGCCCAGAGCATGGCCAGGCGGGTTGGAGGTGGGAGGCCCCAGCCCTGTGCCGAGATGCTGGCACCACCAGAGACAGATCCTGCAGTTGCCCAGACGGGGAGGTGACAGTGGCACGCTGCTTTCCTCTAGGACGAGTACTGTTTCTACAACGGAAAAACACACTGGGAGTCGTCCCGGCCGACCTCGAGCGCTACTGGCTGCTTTGTGCCCTTCGCAGTGTGTGTGGTCTCCAGAGTCCCCTATTACAACTCCCTCAAGGACTGCCTCTCCTGGTGAGCAGGTGCCCTCTGTGGCTCTCAGGCTGTGCAGGACTGGGTGAGAGGGCAGCGGCTGGGTGTGGCCGAGGGCTCTCTCTTGGACAGAGAAGAGCTGGGCTCTTCTGTGACTGGTAATTTGTGGCAGCGGCGAAAAAGGACGAAGCTGCGCGGTGGGGTAAGATGAACATGGGGCATTTTTTTAAAGAGGCCTATGTCAGGAACAAATTTCCCTACCTGTCTGAGAAAACCAGGAAGCTACTATTCTGATGAGTTTTATTGGCATTTAAAAAGTGACCTTTTGGCCAGCCATGGTGGTTCACACCTATAATCCCTGCACTCTGGGAGGCCAAGGTAGGTGGATTGCCTGAGCTCACAGGTTTGAGACCAGCCAGAGCAAGAGTGAGACCCCCATCTCTAAAAATAGCCAGGCATTGTGATGGGCGCCCACTGTAGTCCCAGCTACTCAGGGGGCTGAGACAAGAGAATTGTTTGAGCCCCAGAGTTAGAGGTTGCTGTGAGCGATGATACCATAGTACTCTACCAAGGGTGACGAAGTGACACTCTGTCTCAAAAAAAAAAATAAAAAGTACCTTTTGGGTAGAGAATCTGATGTTGAATAGAAAGTTCAAAAATGTAAAGAATCTTTGAAAGATCAAGAGGTGTCATGTAGTGCCACTGGGTTCCCCTTATCAGAGGCTGCTATGGGGACAGAGGCTGCACCCCGGATCCGGATGTGGGTCTGTTCCAGCAGTAGTTCCATAGTCTTAGAACCTGTATTTGTTTGGTTAAAACCTGGGAGAAAGGCAGGTAGCAAAGCTCCCCTCGGTGTCAGAAATGAGGAGCAGCCATGGCAGTTTGCTGCACGGGCAGCTCTGTTGTGACTTTTCTGGGATGGATGATCATTTTAGGCCCTAAGCCTGGGTCGCTGGGACAGGCCAGTCAGTGCGCTGGGCGACTGGGACCTGACCTGACTCACTTTGCTCATGAGTCAGAGTCCCCATCCTATTGGGTTATTTATTCATTTTTGAGACAGAGTCTCACTCTGTCACCCAGGCTGAACGGTGGTGGTGTAATTACAGCTCACTGCAGCCTTGAAATTCTGGTCTCTGGCTGTCCTCCTGCCTCAGTCTCCTGAGTAGCTGTGACTCCAGGCGTTCACCACCACGCCCATGGCTTCTGTTGCTGCCTGACCAGGTGGGATCCTGGCAGGTACTCTCTTCCCACCATGGCCTCCTCTGGACACCCCAGGGTCGCTCCCTGCCTGGGCTCATCCTCCTTTCTGGTCACACTCTTCTCCTGAGGGCCTGGCTGTGTCTGTGTGGCCTCTACGGTCCCTTGCTGCAGGGCCAGGCCTGGGCCTACACCTCATGAGTTTGTCTATGAGGACAGATGTCAGACTGTCTGTCCTTGTGATTTTAGGGAATTAGCATCCCTAGAGTCATCGTTCCATTAGGTATAACCTTTAACCCAAACTTTCATGTGCAGAGCTCTGAAAATCACCATTATTAAGGTGTGATGCGTGGAACACAATAAAACTCACCCACTTTAAGTGTATAGTTGGATGAGTTTTGATAAATGTACATACCTGTGTGACCACACCTGTGCAATCATTGCCACAATTAAGAGAGAAAACATTTGCACTCAGAAGTTCCCCAAGGCTCTTTAGAGGCAATTATAACTCTGCCCCAAGGCAATCACTTATTATATGTGTTTGTGTACATAAAAATTTTTTTTGAGAGTCTCACCCTGTTGCCCCAGGCTAGACTGCTATGGCATCATCATAGCTCACAGCAATCTCCAATTCTTGGGCTCAAATGATCCTCCTGCCTCAGCCTTCCAAGTAGCTGGAACTATAGGCACCTGCTACCATGCCCAGCTAAGTTTTCTATTTTTAGTAGAGATGGCGGTCTCACTCTTCCTGAGGCTGGTCTCAAACTCCTGAGCTCAAGGGATCCTCCCGCCTCAGCCTCCCTGAGTGCTGGGATTACAGGTGTGAGCCACTGTGCTCTGCTTATCTACTATATTCTAAAATCATATACAGCTCTTCAAAAGTCAGAATGCATTTTGGAAATAAACTTTGTCAAGATCTTTCTTTCCAAGTGTTGTTTATTTATTCCTCACTAAAATGTAGCACATGTACAGAAAATGTACAAATTCCAGTGGTTTTTGACAAACTGAACACACCCATGTAACCATCATCCAGATCAAGAAATAGAACACAATAGCCCACCCTGCCCTGCCCCTTCCAGACACTCTGCCATGCTGGGAATCACGCTCCTGTGGTCTGACGGTAGATTGTTCCACTTTTGGTGAAAAGTCCTAGAATTATTGGCAGCACCTGTGGCTCAAAGGAGTAGGGCAATGGCCCCAGATACTGGAGGTGGTGGGTCCAAACCCAGCCCTGGCCAAAACCATCAAAAAAAAAAAAAAGTCTTAGAATGATTGATTTGGACCCTTAAGGAGATTGGCTTGATTAGAAGAAATGCTGAGGACAACAACGAGATTCTCATTTTTATTTTGTGATTCAATTTTTGTTTTTCAATTTCAGTTTATTGATTCATCTGAAGCTCTGTAAAGATTTTGAAGTTGACAACCCTATAAAAGATTTTGCTGCAAAACTTTCTTTGATACCCAGTCCACCACCTGGACCACTCCATTTGGTAAATTAAATTTGGAATTATATTATTTTTTCTTTGCAAATGGTAAAAGTAATATGTTGAAGAAGGTTTTAAACTATAACTGCAGCTCTAGCTGTGTTTAAATTAAAGTTCTTACAGAAGGAAGCATTTTGTGCACTGTTTCTAAAGGTTGAGTTTTGCTGAGTGACTTGATACACAGAGGTAGTATTGGAATATTTGGGTAGTTTAGCATCTGAGTTCACTTCTTGCTATGCAGAAAATACATAGAATTCTCAGTTCATCAGTGTAAGAATTTATCTAAGGTACAAATCTCTTTTTTGGTTATTCATCTTAAATATCGGGTATTGTATTTAATTTGGGTTTTCTCCTGCACAGTGTGATTAACAGAAAGTAACTGGTTTTACATTTTTTGTTATTCTGAGACATGGTACTACATTATTTTATTAGTTGACAAACATTTCCCAAACTGGGTTCTTTTCTGAGAGATGTTAGCTGTTTCACAACACAGGGTTTAGGGTTACACGAAGCTGGAGGGTGGCATACCCTTCCCCTTTCGTTAGTGATGTGTTATGCTGCTTAGCTATGTGAAGAAACCTGATTGACTCAGCATTTTCCAAACCGATTTAACCACATATAGGATTCTGCTGCTGGTTTTTTTTAAACCGACTCTGTCAAACATGTTGACATATTTAGTAAATGTCAAGTCAGTTTCACTGGATTAGTCCCATCAAACAGTGTTTTTCAACTGATTTTATCTCGTGGCACACTTGACGTTAGTTAAACTTTCACAGCACACTTACATATGTTGATTTTTTTAAAAAAAAAGAGTTAAAGAATATACTCTGCTTTAATTTAATTAATGATCTTTAAAAATTTTCAAGGCTGTGGCACACCAATTGAAAATCACTCCTCTTGAAGATTATATGTATAAATCTTGGTCCCTGCATTTTTTTTTCTTTTCCTTTTTGAGACAGAATCTCACTCTGTTGCCCAGGCTGAAGTGCTATGGTGTCATCATAGCTTACTGCAGCCTCACATTCCTGGGCTCAAGTGATTCTCCTGCCTCTGCCTCCCAAGTAGCTCAGGCTGCAGGGGTGTATATCACACCTGGCTAATTTTTTGTAGAGATGGATGGAGTCTTTCTGTATTGCCCAGGCTGGTCTTGAACCCCTGGCCTCCCAAAGTGCTGGGATTATAGGCATGAGCCACCACCCCACCCCTGGCCTGTTATTTTTTCTTTCTTTCTTTTTTTTTGAGACAGAGTCTTACTTTATTGCCCTTGGTAGAGTGCCGTGGCATCACAGCTCACAGCAACCTCCAACTCCTGGGCTTAGTTGATCCTCTTGCCTCAGCCTCCCAAGTAGCTGGGTCTACAGGTGCCCACCATAACACTCGGCTATTTTTTTTTTGTTGCAGTTTGGCCGGGGCCGGGTTTTGAACCTGCCACCCTCATTATATGGGGCCGGAACCCTACCCACTGAGCCACAGGCGACACCCAAGGCCTGTTATTTTTAATTACTGACAATAGAAAAATAAGTTTGACTCATCAGGAGACAAATGATCATGAGTTTAAAATGTATATTTTTAATAGTACTCCAAACCCAGCAGTCTCTGGGTGAAATCCTGCCTCCCAGGCAAGACCCAGAGGGGGCCGCCTGTCTTATCTCAGTTCTACTCCCCAAAACATTTGTAGGGAATATTTATTAGATACTTACTTTCTGCAAGGCACTCGTCTTTATTACGTGGATAACTGGTACTTTCTTGTGGACATTGTGTGCAGTGAAATCATCAAAGTTTGTGTTTTTGTCCTGTAAATTCAGCAAATCTTCACTGAGGCCCTGGGAGAGCAGTGACAAAACTAAGTCTCTGGCTTCAGGATGGGTCAGGGTCAGCCGGAATCTTCTGTCCTCAGCCTTTGAACATAAGTGGTGGCTGGGCATGGTGGCTCACACCTGTAATCCTAGCACTCTGGGAGTCTGAGGTGGGTGGATTGCCTGAGTTCACAGGTTCGAGACCAGCCTGAGCAAGAGTATGACCCCATCTCTAAAAATAGCCAGGTGTGGTGTTGGGCGCCTATAGTCCCAGGTAGCTGGGAGGCTAAGACAAGAGAATTACTTGAGCTCAAGAGTTTGAGGTATCTGTAAGAGCTAGGGCACTCTACCAAGGGTGACAAGTGAGACTCTGTCTCAAAAAAGAAAAAAAAAAAAAGAAAAAGAAAAAAAAAAAGGCAGTTGGCTTAGTGCCTATAGCTAAGTGGTTAGGGCATAGGCCACATACACCAGGGCTGGTGGGTTTGAACCCAGCCCTGGCCTGCTGAACAATGACAACAACAACAACAACAAAAAATAGTTGGGCATTGTGGCAGGTGCTTGTAGTCCCAGCTACTTGGGAGGCAGAGGCAAGAGAATCACTTAAGCCCAAGAGTTTGAGGTTGCTGTGAGCTGTGATGCCACAGCACTCTACTGAGGGCAATATAGTAAGACTATCTCAAACAAAACAAAACAAAACAAAACACATGGTTCTTGTGGCAGTTTTCTGGGTCTCAGAATTGTGGGCTGCCTGCTGCTGGGCCTGCATCTTCTCAGCCCCAGCAAGCAAGCTGAGTGAGGGTGGCAGCTGGTCCCAGCTCTTCCCCCTCAGTTCCATCTGTCCCAAGCCTGACCGACCTGCCTTCAACTTTTGTTTTCAGTTTGCCATTTCTCTGCCATCACCCCATGATGGCCACTGGCCCCTCCCACCAGTGTGACCTCAGGTCCACTGGTCTGTCCACTCCAGTTCATTCTCAACCCTTCAGTTTGTCCTTGCATGGTGACAGCAGAGGTCATTAACACATCTGAACTGTCCCTGGGCTCAGCCTGCTTTTTCTCTGCCCACTAGTGGGTGTGATTTACTTTTTTCTCAAATTGTGGGCTTAGTTGGGTGTGCACAATGCAACATGTGTGTGTATGTGGGAATTTGCCAGGACAGGACTCTGTGCGTCCCAGGGCACACTCACACACACACACTCTCATTCACATTGGGACACTGGATGTGCCAGTGAACCTCCTGATCTCAGTGTTGGGCTGTGGGAGATAGCCTGAGTCCCGGGCAAAACCCTCCCAACAGACAAGCTGGGAGTCAGTTGTTCTCATTAGTATTGTAACACATGAGGCTTCAGACCAGCTGGGAGTCACATTGTAACACATTGGCTTCATACCTGCTGGGAGTCACATTGTAACACAGGGGCTTCACATTTGCTGGGAGTCACATTGTAACACATAGCTTCACACCTGCTGGGAGTCACATTGTAACGCGCTGGCTTCAGACCAGCTGGGAGTCACATTGTAACACATAGGCTTCACACCTGCTGGGAGTCACATTGTAACACACTGGCTTCAGACCAGCTGGGAGTCACATTGTAACACATGGGGCTTCACACCTGCTGGGAGTCACATTGTAACACACTGGCTTCACACTAGCTGGTAGTCACATTGTAACACACTGGCTTCACACTAGCTG